AGATCGTTGGGATATAAACATATCTTTGGGTTTCATCAAAAATCGTATAAAAATTGTGACCTCTAGAGAGTCTACAACATTGGTATTACCTACTTTTACACTATTTGCATACAAGAGGTGGCCATTTGGTCAGACAGTTTCGATCCGATTGTCACGAAATTCAAACTCAACCGTCATTATGGCGCAACGGTGATATATTGAAACGGATTTTAAAATCGAAAAAATATTGTAACCTGCCTCCGTTTTTCTCCCCATCCGAACGACTAGAGAATGTATTTAGCATTACCTGTGCAAGATGATGAATGACCGATCGGTGGGGTTACCGGGCAAAGTTTGAATACTGCAAAGTATTGTAAATGATGCATGTCTCGATTTGTAAATAAAAGTAAAAACACAGGTACCAAGCCAAATCAGGTACCGAATCAGTCCGCGACACGTATTTCATCATGATAGTACTAGATGCTGTTGCAATCTTTAAGAGAGAGAGAGAGAGAGAGAGAGAGAGAGATGGGTTAAACGTCCACTCGACACAAACTCGCAGTGGGAGGAAACCGGGGGACCCGGAAACCCCCCACGATGTTGGACAGGCGACTCTACTCCGTGTCATGTATAACCGGGGAATCGAAACCACGCCATTTGACTCAATAACAGACCTTATCATACAGCGCGCACGTTAACCATTCGGCCATCCAACTCCCGTAATCTTTTAGCTATTGTGAAACACATTAACAGGACCCAATTTTTATGGAGAGAAAGAGAGAGAGGGGGGGGGGGGTCGTCCACGCGACACAAATAGGTCATTTCGGGACTATCATTTCGTTAAATTTCATTTCAATAATTCACTTGCGCGTAGGGGTCTTCAGCAGTGGGAGGAAACCGGAGGACCCGGAGAAAAACCAGGAGGTTGTACAGGCGGTCCCACACCTTGTCACGTATAAGCCGTTAATCGAAACCACTCCACTTAACTCATTAACAGACCTCATGATGCAATGCGCACGAGTTAACTATTCGGTCAATCAACCAGCCAATTATCATGGGAACCAATCCCTGGTTTGATTCAAAAAGCACGACGTCTCTACAAGTATCCTCATAATTATCGTTATCATATATAATATATATATATATATATATATATATATATATAATATATACCTCGGAAGTTTACTAAAAGTGTTTGATATGACAGAAACTCCAAACTTCAATTCAGAAATCAAGTAAATACCTTCATCACTTGGGAATACACAAAGCTGTTGAAAATAGTTACATGAATAGACAGTTACTATACGACCCTCGAGAGTGGTTATAAGGTGATTATCACAGTGATAAAACATCACACGACATATATCAAATAAATATAATAATGCCGCGGGACGGGATAACGAAAATGAAAACCAAACAAACAAGACAAGCGCTCAATATAGACCAGAATGGCGACGCCATATCCTTCCTTGCGTCACGTCACAGAATATTGAAGAACAACATCTCTTAAAAAAAATACAAAGGTTCCATCATACGATACAAAAATAGTGTTTTCTTTTCAAATATTAGATATCTAGCTGACAGTTATATAACAGTGAGATACATCTTTCTTTTTTGTATGTTGATTCAATGAAATCAACCGTTTTATCCAGATAAATGCACGAGATTAACATAATCGCTAGTAGCGATGGGTAGATTACTTGAATCGTAATGGTACTTTACTTAAGATAGATGTACCATGAGTTATTTTATTAGTAATTCACTTGAAACATACCAATGCTGATGGGTGAATAGTAGTTTCTATTTTGATGGAATGAAGGCGAATAACATATCTGCTAGTAGATGTAGCAGCGATGGGTAGTTTACTTGAATCTCAATAGTAATTTACATAAGAAAGATGTACCAAGTATTTTTATGATTAGTAATTCACTTGAGATATAGCGATGCTGGTGGCTGTATAATAGTTTCCAATCTACACATCGATATATGGCAATTTACTTCAGATGCGTCGTAGTTTCAATATGTTAATTTACTTAAGATACATCGCAGTTTCTATTCTTTACGTTGATATATGGCAATTTACTTAAGATAAGTCGTAGTTTCCATTATGTACATCGATATGGTAATTTACTTAAGATACATCGCAGTTTCTATTCTTTACGTTGATATATTTTAATTTACTTAAGACATATCGTAGTTTCCATTCTACACATGGTAATTTACTTCAAATACGTCGTAGTTTCCATTATATACATCAACATATGGATGGTAAATTACTTCAGATATGTCGTAGTTTCCATTATATACATCAATATATGGATGGTAATTTACTTCACATATCTATAGATTTCTCATTCTATACAACAATGCGTGTATTACGTTACTTCATATACCAAGAAACTAATGGTAATGTACGTCAGATACCAAGAAGGTTTCGACAAGTGAAGAGTCCAGGGGAAGAACGATCTAAGTCATATTTTTGTCTTTTCGCATAAAAGGCAAAACAGACTTTTGGAGGAGAATGCCTGACGCGAACAGAACAACGAGTGGGTTTAATTACAACTTCAAAATGATATTTAATACGAATCATAATTACCAGCACAACAACTGACTTCCACTTTTCAGCAAAATTAAGGTCAAATAAAGGGTACGATGGACGAATTTGTCGAGGAGGCTATTTCAGAAGGGCCTTGGTTCGATGCGACTCCGATTGTTTTTACCTGAAATTGATTGTTCCGCAGAAAAATGATACAATTTTCTACCAGATGGCGTAATTAACTGGGGTTCGTTGAAAAAGTGACTTAGATCGTTCTTCCCCGGGGCTCTTCAAGTGTTTTCAAGCACAAATGATAAGTTAGTAAACTAAAAGGTAATATATATATAATGATATGAAATCTATGTTGTTACTATACAAAGTGAGTTGTTTAGTAAGTAACACAACATCTGTGCTTGAAAACTTCGTGCTATAATGTACAAATTAGATATTCTTTTCAATATACATTGTGACGTGTTTTTAAATTAAGATTGCCATTATATATATATAAAGTAAATTACATAATTAGGTTCTTGGTATATGAAATAACGTAATACACATATTGCTATGTAGAATGAAAAGCTCTTTTAGATAAAACATTATGCAGTAAACTAAACATTACTTTCAAAAACACACTTTTATGGATAACAATTACTAATAAACCATAGTAATTGTTATCCATAAAAGTGTGTTTTTGATTATGTTCCAATTACTAAATGCCATTCAAAGAATAAACATTACTTTATATACTTATTTATTTATCAACAAAGGGAGCCGCGATGACTCAGCGAGTAAGACGCTGGTTCGCTAATCTGACGGTCTCGGTGTTAGCCGAGAAAGGTCATCGGAATTTTCGGGCGAGGTCCCGTGTACACATTGGCGTGCACGTAAAAGAACACTTGACAGTTGGAATTCGATGTAAGAGTAGGCCGTAGCGCCGCTGTCCGAGCAAGATTTTCCTCATAGCACTCTACATGGCGTAGGCCAATCTCCATTAGTCCAGTCGTGACAGACCAGTAGGACATTAAACCCCCATCTCATTCTTATATTGTAGTCTATGACAAGAACAGTAGGACGTTAAACCCCAATCCCATTATTATATAGTCTATGACAAGAAAGGTAGCATTTTTCGCGACCCACCCACATAGGCTCAGCATTGAGAATTTCAGTATTTCTTAAAAAAAATTTGAAAGAGATATATATATATATATAGAGAGAGAGGTGGGGTTTAACGTCCACTCGACACAAGCTATGTCATTTCGGGACTAACATATGGTTCAATTTTATTGAAACAATACGCTTGCCCGTACAGATCTTTAGCAGTGAGGGGGGGGGGGGGGGGCACGAGGTTGGACAAGCGACTCCATGTCACGTACAACCGGGGAATTGAAACCACGCCAGTTGATTCAATGACAGACCTCATGATACAGCGCACGCTAACCATTCGGCCATCCAACCCCCTCCCCTACAAAAATTGTATATAGCTGCTTATCAAAGATGGATTATTTAAGATTTAGATAATGAGCTAGTCGTTCATGTTATACTAGTTCCAAAACAGATAATAAAACATGAATATATTGTTCAAGACTCGCCATTTTAAAATTAAATCATTAAATGGCGACTGCCTTTCGGTCCGTTTAAATCTTCGCCATTTTATGGTCAAGAGGGTTGATTATAGGCTTGCCATGTGAATAAATATCCAAATAATAATTTATATAACATTTGAGGTCAAAATTATGATATGTAATTGGCAGATTTAGTTCTTACATAAATAATACGTCTTTAATTGAGATTTTTAAGAGGTTTTAAAATTCTCAAATATAGTATATATTTATTTGTTGACATTCGATACTAGTTTACGTTTATTTAAATTAAACCAATTATTGAATAATACGTAAAATTAATCGTGTGTCTTATAAGTAGAACACGGTGGAGGCTGATATCTAATTACCCTTTATAGAAACCGTCTCTGTATTTCACTTAGAGTAATTGTGGTGATGCAATATGGATATATCTATATTAATGTTCCGTCATTATAATTTGTCGTCGTATAACTGTACATTATTATTATGTGCGTTAATATTATAGACTCCGTTTTTTCTCCGACCTGTAAATTGGCTAATTCAATTGGGAAAGCAACGAATCATTTTAGATATGACAATATGATTCTCAGCAACTTAAAACCCGAGATTAGTGTAATTTCCGCTCTCATCCTTGTTTTCTCTCATCTAGTATTTAACCTTTCGCTTCAAATTATCTGCTCAATTTAATACATGCATATAGCGTGTAACTCATGCCAACAACATCTATATTCATTTGTAGAGATCAACCAGCGGTGTCAATATTGATGATTACTTGTTATCCTGATTTTAATTGGACGAAATCCCAGCTCGCGCGTCTTAACCAAAGGATGGAGTTAACCCGCGTGCTGCCTCCGCGTGAAGGGTAACAAGAAGTGGGTGGATTCCTTATAATGGAGATATTGAAAATGATCACGTGATGTTCTTGGTATAAAGATGAAATTGTCTAAGAACGTCTAACTGACCCAAAGAGATACTAGGCGAGGGAGCATACATTTAAACAATAGAGGGAACACGCAAGTCAAGACAGAAACCTAAACAACGTACAAGAACAAGGTAAGAGTTATATCCTTTGTCTATATTTAATTTAATATTTAAACATTTGTTAACTTGTCTACTTGCGGTTTAGGGTAGTTCTTGTGAAGATTTTCTCTTACAAAGATAACCGTGAATGGAAAGTAACTTTAAGTTTTAAAAACTTATGAAAGCTCCTAGGTTTTAAATGTTGATTCAGTTCTAATATTCCTTTGGCACTAATATTTTTTTGTCTTTGTTTTTAAAGTAACTTTAAGTTTTAAAAACTTATGAAAGCTCCTCGGTTTTAAATGTTGATTCAATTCTAATATTCCTTTACAAAATAATTACATACATTGTTGGCACTAATATTTTTTTTTGTCTTTGTTTTTAAAGACAAATTATTCAAACAGAAAATGAAATTAATAGTCCCAACAGAGTATTTATGTTCGTTGAAATTCACTTTTTAACCGGGATTTATGCTATTAATGTCATTGTTGGATCTGCTGTTATCAAATTTAACACATTTTCGAAACGTTTAAGAGTGCGGAACACTTTTAAAAAATATTGTGTAATTAATTCTTATAATTGGATTTTTTTTTCTAAATAAATAAATCTTAAAAATTAAAGGTTTATATGATCAAATATTTTGAAAAGTGTAAATGGCTGTAAAACGAGTTTTACTCTAAGCCGCAAACTGTGAAAGACAATTGAAATAAATCTAGCCTTTCGAAATTGTGACGTACGACATAAAGGAGCCAATTTTAAAATTATCTAAAACCAAATAAATCAACTAGCGACAAGGCATAAAGAGTTATCTGCCATAATTTGAAGTTGTGAATGAGTGGAAACGAATTATCAACATTGCAACTTGACAGTTGTGAAACTATTCGATGTAATAAACATTTACGACGATGCAGTAGACAAAATAATTTTTCTTGGAACAATACACAAAACATCTGAAGAACTTTCGTTTTAAATTTCCGGGCACTGCACTCGAAACGTCTGTTGCAGGGGTACGTTGGTGTTCCAACACGACAATATGGTATTGTCTGAATATCGACATTCTAATGTAGAAATGCATAAATACATAACAACACAGTATAAATAATAATAATAATAATAATTGAATGTCTTTGGAAGCGCTACATTATGTTAAAGTCGTATCGGCGCGGTTTAGAAACGTTCATAGTGTTTAAGCATTGAAACTTGGTCTTAAAACTAGTGAATGTACCATGAACTGGTATTTAATGTTTCCTGTAGAATTTATTATATATTTGTACTCATATTGGTGCAAATTTGAAATGCCCATTCATCACAACACCAATACGGACGTCCACCATACATGTAACCCCAGGTGGACACTATGGACGTTCAACGGATTAGCACAAACCGCTAGGCGTACATTGGGATCCTGCATCATGAAAGTTAAAAAGTCAAAAGCAGTGAATTTAAAAACAAAACTCAGTCTGTGTCCGAGGATCTCCTGCCACTTCAGATTAAAAAAAAAGCAATCATCGGTCCAAAATATTACGAAAAAATAGATTAGAATGTACTATTGAGATTTTGAAAGTTGCGAAAGAATTGGTTGTGCAGTTACAACTGTATGTAATACTATTTTGTTGACTCGCAACGGCTGGTACTATGGTAGTACAGACAGTGCACAAACCAATACTTAAAACAGTGGAAAGTTTATAGCTACGCGATTTTAATTTTTATCAGATTTTGTAAAGAAATGTAAGTCAGAAACGCGGAAGTCAGATTAACTATAGCGGATGGGATTTTCTAAGCATGTTATCGTGCACGTTTAAGGATGACTGTTTGTCTCCGTATGGTTCGTAATCCCCATATACCACGTATAATCAGATTCAAGTTCTTATTTTAACCATATTGGCTAGGTGTTTCCGATCAAGTTTAAAAGTATGACCGCAAGTTTACTTAAGTTTCTTGGGCCCTCGCAATTTCACGAAAGTCTTAACTATGGCAACTATCTTTAGTTTTTCGAAAACCCCATTCGGCTACGGTCTTTGTTTTCCCCGCTAGCCCCATACGGCGACTGCCTTTATTTTGTCACATTAGCACCAGCCATACCAAGCAGAAATGGGCTAGAATGGTAGAGGGGTTGGATGGCCGAATGGTTAGCACGTGCGCTCCGTATCATAAGGTCTGTCATTGAATCAACTGGCGTGGCTTCGATTCCCTGGTTGTACGTGACAAGGAGTAGGGGCTCCTGTCAAACCTCGTGGGTTTTCTCCGGGTCCTCCGGTTTCCTTCCACTAATAAACACCTCTACGCGCAAGCGAATTATTGTAATAAAGTTGAACCATATGTTAGTCCCAAAATGACCTGGTTTGTGGTGTCGAGTGGATGTTAAATCGCACCCCCCCCCTCTCTCTCCCTCTCTCTCGTTAGGATGATGAAATTGAAATGAAATGAAATGGAGTTTAACGTCCTACTGTTCTGCTCCTAACCTGGGCTAATGAAGACGGGCAGACGCCATACAGTGTGCTATGAGGGAAATTTTGCCCGGACAGCGGCACTACGGCCTACTCTTATATCGAATTCCAACTGCCAAGGGATCTTTTACGTGCACGCCAATGTGTACACGGGACCTCGGGTTTTCGTCCCATCCGAACGACTAGACAGCTTTCCTTGTCAGCCCCTCCGTCCTGCATCACTGATAAGGGAGAACCACGCCGGATCGTTAGGATGATAATGGTCTTTATAATTCATTCAGCACCAATTATACCCAGTAGAAATAGGCTATGGTCCGTTTACTGCCAACTCCAGGGTCTTAATTTTTGCAAAAGACTATGTATCGACTAAGTATATCCGAAGTCGGTTTCTGTCTTCAGGTCAAGATGCGTTTGCCACCTAGGTTGGCGTGCGTTTACCACCGACACCACGAATATGACTAAGCACAACAAGGTCAAGATGCGTTTACCACCTAGGTCAGGGTGCGTTTACCATCGAAACCATGAATATGGCCGCTATGGGTGCTAAACCACGTCCTGCTATATATAATTTAAAAGAATGGATTTATCAACTGGGAAGCAGGTACATCGAGCTTCGTAACGCAAGTGTCAAGTGGTTCAACGTGGTCAATAGATTGTAGAGAGAGGGAGAGAAATGGGGTTTAAGGTCCACTCGACACAGACTAGGTCATTTCGGGACTAACAAATATGAAGCACAGCGCGGGCGTTCGTATGTACGTGCCTAGTCTCCTTTCCATGTCCAAATACAATATCGATATCTAAACTGCTATTTTAGCTGTTTCAACAGTTCGATTCTTTCTCCAGACCTTTTGAATGAAGTGGGCCTCTACAAGTTATTTTTTTGCCATTATAAAAACAATTTTCCCACGCACATGTATATATGGTATTTAATTATTGAAAAGGGAAAACAAGGAAAACAGCGATCGGATCATATTAGAACACTGTCTTGTAAATTGAATCTGATATGAAAACTCATTTTGAAGATCTTGAACTTTTGATAGTACATGCCTTGGATATTCTATCAAAACAGAAGGGAGAAATGGTTGATAGAGAATTTATCGACCTCGAAATAATCCATGCTTTTCAAATCTATTTTTGGTTGGGACTTTTGAACTTATCTAATGACCCTGGTGCTAGCTATTTACACGGGGTTGTCCACTATGAAGGAGTACCGGTTTCAAAATTCTAAAACTTAACTATTTCTTTGGATAGCAATTTCTAAAACTTAACTATTTCTTTGGATAGCAATTTAAAACAAAGGCTTTATAAACAAATGGCTCAAGAACGAAAGCTTTTCTACATGAGGAATAGAGTTTAACGTTCACTCGATACGTCGGTCGTTTTGAAACTAACTTTCTTAGCCTTTTTTATTTGGTCATGTATGCAATGATAAAAGGGCTGGGATTGGGGGTGCGCGGGTGAGGGGCGGGGTAGGCGTGATTTGGTCCGGGTAAATGTACTTACAATTTCTCAACTGATATTGAGATGCGACTGATAGCTAACACTTAATTGTCTTTACGTTTTTGAAATATCGTGAACATCATCGTCTCTAAATGTACATTGAAAGATGAAGTAACAACGAAGTACAATTTTAAAAGAATATGCTTGTATTCACTACCGGGTCACCAGTTCTTGGTCTATCTTTATAAAAGGATCTAAAATCGAAGACTCCGAGTCCCCAAGTATTGACGTATGTAGAAGTTCTACATTTGATACGGAAACAGTAGAAATCCACAGGGACCTGTATACGAGATAAACACATTAATTTCTCGAATTGAAAATTATAGTTTTTAAGCTCTTTGACAATCATTGTTTTCCCATTTTATCAAGAATATTATTAATAATGTGTGAATTTTTCGCTTTGATTATTCATGAGCTCAAAAAAACTCGAATTATTTCTGTTTCTTACGTTTCATTTATCGAAAATGTGACATTTGGGTTCTGAATTAATTGGTTGCTTCAGAATGTTTTTATAGTCGCAAACTGTGAAAGACAATTAAAATAAATCTAGCCTTTCGAAATTGTGACGTACGACATAAAGGAGCCAATTTTAAAGTTATCTAAAACCAAATAAATCAACTAGCGACAAGGCATAAAGAGTTATCTGCCATAATTTGAAGTTGTGAATGAGTGGAAACGAATTATCAACATTGCAACTTGACAGTTGTGAAACTATTCGATGTAATAAACATGCAGTAGACAAAATAATTTTTCTTGGAACAATACACAAAACATCTGAAGAACTTTCGTTTTAAATTTCCGGGCACTGCGCTCGAAACGTATGTTGCAGGGGTACGTTGGTGTTCCAACACGACAATATGGTATTGTCTGAATATCGACATTCTAATGTAGAAATGCATAAATACATAACAACACAGTATAAATAATAATAATAATAATAATTGAATGTCTTTGGAAGCGCTACATTATGTTAAAGTCGTATCGGCGCGGTTTAGAAACGTTCCTAGTGTTTAAGCATTGAAACTTGGTCTTAAAACTAGTGAATGTACCATGAACTGGTATTTAACGTTTCCTGTAGAATTTATT